ACTTTGAGCTTGTCGTTCTCCGTGTTCTTACGTCCAAAAACTTCCAACGAACTACTCCAAGCCTCCTTAGGACCTCAAGAAGCTTCCTATAAGCTTGAAAAATCCTAAAAATCAACCAATAAAAAGTTGATGAATAGTACCTAAATCGGACTACCTCGAATCGACATGAAAACAAAGGATTTCTCACCTGAAAATGGTATGGTTGCACTCGTACGAGCTTCACGAGTTCAATGGTGTAGTTGGTTTCCTCGGAGAGTGATGGTTTGAGTATGTTTGTGTGTAGTCCGTATGTTGAAGGAAGAAGAAGAAAGAAGAAGGGAGCTCGGGGAGAGAGAGAGAGGAAAGAGACAGAGAAGAGACAGAGAGTGAGGGAATCCCGGGAGAGAAAGAGAGTGTATGAGTGTGTGTGTGGTCCTACAACACCACACAACACAAAACTACACGTAAAGTAACGAACTAGGGGGTAAAATCGTAAATTCACACGTACGTTTCATTAATTTCGGGACGGGATGTCACACTTAGTGTCAGAGATGAAGACTTGATAATGATCGTATCCAATTCCATCTTAAGGTTAAGGTATGCTTGATAATGTTGTCCTTTATGTGCAATTCACTGTATGATGTTCATGCCTTTAATGGGACTGTCAATATTGGTTTTGTCATCATACATCATTCGTGAGAAATGGGATGGTGAGTTTCTCAATACAGTTTTAATTTTTGTGCGAATAATGTTTGTAAAAAGTCTGTTTTTATTTAGTTCATTGCAGATTCTTATTCTTTTATTTAGTTCACTATTCATGCTTTTAAAGATAAGAAGTGCAAGGTTCTCTCAGATGTTAGTTTTGGGTGGCAATTGAAAGATACGAGGATAAACAAAAATACCTACCAATTGAAAGGATAAATTCAATTGAAAATATTTGGTTCATCAATTATTATAGTTTGAGCTTTCTGCATTAAATGTCCTGTTTTTGGGAAGACTGATTCGTATAATTGGGTTTTATTAAAATTTTCATGATTTTATACAGTTTTTCCGTTTAAATTTGTGGATTCTGAAACACTTTTATGAGTGTCAAAATCATATTGTATGTCTAAAATTTGTTTGGAATTTGGCGGTTTCTTCAATTTCATCACCTCCCATTCTCACAACTTCATCTAAAGTGTTTTGCATGTATAAGATTCGTGTTCATGGAGGTCACTTCAAACAGATTTCAAGCTGAGCTGTGTTGCTAAAATTAGATTAATCAAAATCAACCCAATTAAGTCCAAAATTTTAACGCTCGCAAGTGTATGAATCGTAGTATAATATGGTAGGCAAGCACAAGATCGTTCCAACTAAGATTGAATGTAATTCTAACTATCTAGCTAAATTTAAGTTTCATTTGAATTGGAAAAGAAAAATTGATGATTTGAATGAGAATTTTGAAATATTGATGTAAATAAAATGAAATGAACTTAGCCAAGTGATGACAACGACAAAGTAAACAAATTATAATTCAATTGTGAAAAAAACTATAGCATCCAATTCACCATAATCAATCCTACTTAATTCCAACTGTTAATTATTAACAAATAAACATCCAATTTGATGGTCTAGTTGCTCTAATTCATATAGTATCCATGGCATCTAGACTACCACGTATATTCATGTGCTAATAATTTATGGCATCTAGACTACTAAACGCACACAAGTTCATTAACAATTTGGGAACTAACTAAAAGACCGCATGAAACCTAGTGTATGTCGTCTACAACAAGGAATTCATGATACCACTTGCAAGATGCTAAAACCGAATTAACATGATGGCATATGCGTTCACTCGCATCACATACACTCGATTCAAACCCACAAGAATTAAAATCAAGCTCATAAGCACAACAAAATGATACTCAAAGTGAATGAAAATTCATAAATAATTAAACTGAGAAATTAAGAATTCATAGTTAGGCTACATCGTAGCCCTAGCAAATGAAAGTAGTTCCAAAACATAATCGAAATTGGTACTGAATCCATAAGAAATAAGAAGAAAAATTAGTTTAGAAAAAGCTTGAAAAATCCCCTGCTTTGCCGCACCTCTAGTCTTCCTTCTTCCCTTACTCCCTGTTTTTCTTCTTTTTTTTTTTTTTTTTTTTCAATCATCACCAGGCTGCCTCTTTTCACTCTCCAATCAGCTGTTTCTTTTTCGTAACTGTCGAGACCTTAACGCCCATTTATTGATCAAAAATAGCAGGTAAGAAGCGGAAAAAGAATTGAATTCTTCACTTGCCACTTCGTACACTCAAGCACCCATGTTGCCTCTTTTCACTCTCTGCTTGATTAGTAACTGATATTTCATCTTCCAATTCCACTTCCAACAAATCTTGAAGTAACCAAATTGCCCACTGCAAGTGAACGGAACGGGCAACTAAAATATGAAAATTGAATATGCCGATACCATTCGTCCACCGATACCCCACAAACAAGAGATTGAAACAGAAATTCGGTGTGTCGGTTGTGATCTACTCATTTCATTCTCTCTTCCTCTGCTGCCATGGTGTGTCAGTTGTGAGTCTAGGAAAATGAGATAAGACAATACAAATTCTTCTTTCTTTTGTCGGTTCGAATTCAAGGAAAACCAGCCTGGTAGTCACGTGCACAAATTTATTGCACTAATAGGTTGACAAGTCAACCTCCTTTGCTTGCAAAAGGATAGAAATGCTGCTCCTTGTTAGACAAAAGGGCAAACCTGGATAAAGTTTAGGTGAAAACAAATTTAGCATTTTAATACTAGAGCTTAACAAGATGACAAATAATTCCCAAGATTAAAATGGAGCCTAACAAGTCTTTTGTGTGAGCCAATTATACAATGGTTACTCTTTTAAACAAAAGATGAACAAAGCAAGCCAGTTATGTTGCAATTCAGTCATCTCCTTTTCCTAGCCATCATGGTACAAAGACAAGTAAATTCTTTCATTTAAATCCAACACATCATGAGAAAAATGTAATTTTTTTGGGCAAAATAAGTAGTGTAATTTATGCTCATCAATACCCCCAAACTTACATTTTGCTAGTCCCCGAGCAAAGAAAGAAAAACATGAAAAAGTAAAAGCATAGAAAACGTTAGTTTCCCCCTATGCTACCCTCAAAGAATCTTAATCAAGAGTTCATAATTATCAAGAATTTTCATAAGCACAAAGCAAGTGAATCAACCATATTCCAAATGTTAGCCGAAACCTTTCAATCATCCTTGAGGTGTAGTGTGTGTAATAGCCATGCCAATGCAATTCCAAGCTTCTTAAATCATCATATGCAAACAAATGACCTTCTCGTAGGGCATACACTCATTCACACATATTTCTAGGTTATATATTTCACTCTAGTGATCTCATTAAAACATGACACCATATGCTTGCTTATCAACCTAACTCGATATCAATTTCAAGTAATTCCTTGGATCAAAAGGTCTTTTGTCAGGTTGTATGGGTCTAAAGGTGATAGGCTAATGAAAGAAAAGATAAGGAATTCAAAAAGTTTGAGAAAGTATACCGTAGAGGTCTTCCAACATCAACAACACAACCAAAAGCACCTACTTCTTCCCCATCACAACTTCAAATGAGAAGTTACATTTTACATCATAAGCCAACACTTCCAGGATAAACAATTTCATACTGTTCACTTATGATAACAGTGAATATACAACACATTTCCACATCTGAGCATTTATGAAGGGGTGTTTTTACACCAATGAATGAACTCATACTACCCCCACAGAAATATCGTTTCTAGCAGTTTCTGGCTTTTAATGATGCTCGAATACACGAAGCTACAATTCCCCTTGTTTTTCACTTTTCAATGTAATCACATTCTCCATCTAGTTCTTCTATGTAAACAAAATCCCAATTGCACGACCTATGTATTTCTCAAAACAATAAAGGATTGGTATGTGCAAGAGCTCAACTCCAATATTGGAGAATGGTAGGGAGATATGGCTAACAAAGAAGAGGCTCAATTTAAGGCTCAAAGGGCTGCTAGGATAAAATTAACATATAAGGTAGGCATGAAAGGCTCAAACGATCCAAAAATGGCCTATCTCCTTTCTAAGTTATTAAATGAATTGATGAATGAATCGAGAGGTATAAAGCAAGTTCTAGAGATACATGTAAAAATGAGATCAAACGCACGAGAATAAATGTGATTGATGCATGATAGTTCAACCATATTAGGCTCAAAATCTCGCAAGGGTTGCATTAGATCACTAAATTTACACATGAAGCGCTAAGTCATGCTCTAGTTTCACACCAACAAGGCTATGTGCATTTGTGTTTCAAGGATGATCCAATGTATACAAAGCTAACAAAGAAATAAGGAATTTCACCTACAACATGCTTACTACTTTCTCAATCACCATCATTTGAATTCAATCCAATCATATCATTGAGTTGGAAACTAACAAAAATCTAAAGTAAAACAATGATTTTTGGATTTTCAAATTTTCAGATTTATTTTTTAATTTTTTTTAAAAAAAAAATGAAGACTTCCAGTGCAATGCATGAAGCAACATAGAAACAAAGCACCATTTCTTGTCCAATTCAATTTTTTCTGTCATAAATATAAATACCCCCCAACTTAAACTGGACATTGTCCCTAATGTTTAAAAACATAAGAACTAAAGACAAGCAAATGAAAATGAATGAGGAAAAACATTGGGAGTAAGACACTTCCCTGGTTGCTGCACCGCATGGCAGCCATTGTGTTCTAATTCGTAAATGCAATTTCCAAAGAAATCACCACCACCAAACTTTGATGTTTCACAGTCCTAACTTGTGTTAGATGGCAGCGACATGAACCTACAATAACAAAGAGTAAAAGGAAAGAATCAGTAGCCAAGCAAGAGAGAAAGCAAAATTCAAAACTAAATAAAATGATAGAAAATAAAAGGAAACAGAGGAAAAATAAAGGAAAAGAAAATTTGGGTTGCCTCCCAAAAGCGCTAAATTTAGTCTTCAGTCGAACTATAGTCCTGCTCAGGCGGGATCAAATAAAGGGATGTCAATCTTCATTGCATCGAAGTTGACTTCCAAATAAGGCTTCAATCGTTGACCGTTAACTTTGAATGCATTCCCGGTCTCCAGATTTTGCACTTCAACTGCCCCATGAGGAAAGACTTGTAATACTAGAAATGGACCATACCAACGTGAACGAAGCTTTCCAGGAAAAAGTTTCAATCTAGAATTGTACAACAACACCTTCTAACCAACATAGAACTCTTTTCGCAGGATGTTTTTATCATGCCAACGCTTGGTTCTTTCCTTGTAAATTTGAGCATTCAAATAAGCCTCGTTTCTCAACTCCTCAAGCTCATCTAATTGCAAAAGCCTTTTTTGTCCAGCAGCTTGAAAATCGAAATTAAGCTTCTTGATTGCCCAATAAGCCTTGTGCTCGAGTTCAACTGGCAAGTGACAAGCTTTCCTGAAAACCAATATGTATGGAGACATCCCAATGGGCATTTTGTAAGCTGTTCTATATGCCCATAGCGCATCATCTAAACGAAGAGACCAATCTTTACGTGATGCATTCACCGTCTTCTCCAGAATTCGCTTAATCTATCTATTTGACACCTCCACTTGGCCACTAGTTTGAGGATGGTATGGCATATCGACCTTATGAATGATATTATACTTGGCCAAAAGAGCTTCAAACTGCTTGTTACAAAAATGAGAACCTCCATCACTTATAATTGCTCTTGGTGTTCCAAATCGAGTGAAAATGTTAGCCTTGAGAAACCGTAGAACAATTCTAGCATCATTGGTTGGTGTGGCAATGGCTTCCACCCACTTAGAAATATAGTCGACAGCCACCAGAATATATTTGTGCTTATATGATGAAGGAAAAGGCCCCATACATCAAAAAGCTCAACTATCAAAATGTTGTTCAACGTCATCTCATTTCTATGAGAGATATTACCAAGCCTTTAACATCGACCACAAGCAACAACAAATGCATGAGAATCCTTGAACAAGGTTGGCTAAAAGAATCCAGATTGCAGAACTTTGGCTGATGTCTTTGTTGCTCCAAAATGCCCTGCATAAGCATATGTATGGCAACGGTTCAAAATACTTTGCTGCTCATCTTCGGGAACACACCTGCGAATGATTTGATCTGGACAATGCTTATACAAATAGGGATCATCCCAAAAATAATGCTTCACTAGAGAGAAGAATTTCTTCCTTTGTTGAGAATTCAAATCCTTCGGAACCACCCCACTTGCCAAGTAATTTGGAAAGTCAGCAAACCAAGGGACTGCACCATGTTTGGCAGCAAACAATTGTTCGTCAGGAAAAGTCTTAGTGAATGGAACAACGAGATCAACATCTTCTTCTCGAACTATCCTAGATAGATGGTCTGCCACCACATTTTCGGACCCCTTCTTATCTCAAATCTCGAGATCAAATTCTTGGAGAAGAAGTACCCATCTAATCAGCCTCGGCTTTGTATCTTTTTTGGATAAAAGATATTTCAAGGCAGCATGGTCAGTGTACGCAATAACCTTTGAACAAATAAGATAGGACCAAAACTTGTCAAGTGCAAATACTACAGCTAACAATTTTTTTTTAGTGGTTGAATAGTTCAACTAGGCATCATGTAGCGTGCGACTAGCATAGTAAATAACATGAGGTAATTTGTCCTTTCGCTGTCCCAAAACTGCTCCCACGGCATCGTTATTTGCATCACACATCAACTCAAATGGAAGACTCCAATCGGGTGCTGTAATAATAGGAGCTGATGTGAGAAGCTTCTTCAAAGTGTTAAAAGCAGACAAACACTCCGAATTGAACTCAAATGCAACATCTTTTTGTAGTAGGTTGCTAAGAGGCTTGGCTATTTTGGAGAAGTCTTTAATAAATCGCCAGTAAAACCCCGTATGGCCAAGGAAACTTCGGACTCCTTTAACTGATGTAGGTGCTAGAAGCTTTTCAATAAGCCCAATTTTTGCTCGATCAACCTCAATGCCCATGCTAGAAATTCGATGCCCCAATACAATGCCCTCTTGCACCATGAAATGATATTTTTCCTAGTTCAACACTAAATTTGTCTCTTTACACCATTTCAGCACAAGCGTCAAATTGTGAAGACAATCATCAAAGGAAGATCCAAAGATAGAAAAATCATCCATGAAGACTTCGATAAACCTTTCAATCATGTCAGAAAAAATACTCATCATACACCTTTGAAAAGTGGCAGGTGCGTTGCAAAGTCCGAAAAGCATTCTTTGATAAGCAAAAGTCCCAAATGGACAAGTGAACATTGTTTTCTCCTGATCTTCTGGCGCAATGGCAATCTGGTTATATCCAGAATAGCCATCTAAGAAATAGTAGTGGGAATGACCTGCAAGTCTTTCCAACATCTGATCAATAAACGGCATAGGGAAATGATCCTTGCGTGTGTCATTGTTTATCTTTTGATAATCTGTGCAAACTCGCCAATCTATTTTCGGTCTTATGGGCACTGACTCATTGTTATCATTTTTAACCACAGTGATGCCTTTCTTCTTTGGAACTACTTGAACCGGACTCACCCATTTACTATCGGATATTGGAAAGATAACTCCCACATCTAAAAGCTTGAGAACTTCTGCTCGGACAACTTCCTTCTTTAGCGGATTGAGTCTCTTTTGTGCCTCAATAATAGGCTTGCTGCCTTCTTCAAGAAGAATTCGATGTATACATAAGGTTGGGCTGATGCTTTTAATGTTAGCTATAGTTCATCCCAATGTTGTCTTGTAATCTCTGAGTACTCGAAGCAATTTTTCTTCTTCGAGAGAAGTTAACTTGGCTGCAATAATCACTGGCAATGACTCGGAAGCACCTAAAAATGCATACCTCAAATGGGTAGGCAATTGTCTCAAGTCTAGCTTTGGTGCAACTTCAACAGATGGATAAATTTTCATTGGGTCAGGTCCCAAAGCTTCGTAATGGTGTCTCTAATGCAGTTTATGTAGAGGGGCAGAATTGAGAATATTGACAATTTCAGTAACTTCTTCCACTTCAACTCTAGGAATGGAGGAATGAACTAGACAAGCTTCGAGAGGTTCAGTTGGATGTTGTGCTCGGAACTGCTCGCTCACAATCTGATTCAAGATATCAATACTAAAACATTCTTCCTGCTCTCTTGGATGCTTAATAGCTTCAAAAACTTTGAACACCACTTCTTTGTCTTCAACTCGCAAAGTAAGCAAACCACTTTTGACATCAATCAATGTACCATCAGTAGCTAAGAATGGACGACCAAGTATAATTGGAATCTCTCTATCTTCTTCCATATCAAGAATCAAGAAATCTGCAGGTAGGATTAACTAATCAACTCGAACCAACACATCTTTGACAATGCCTCATGGATAAGTGACAGATCGATTCGCTAGTTGTAGAGACACAAGAGTAGGTTTCATTTCGTCCAAACCTAGCTGTTTAAAAATATAATATGGCATCAAGTTAATGCTAGCACCAAGATCACATAAAGCTTTTTCAAAAGAAGATTTTCCAATTGTGCAAGGAATCGTAAAACTCCCTGGATCGATCAACTTTGGTGGAAACTTCTTTTGTAAAATAGCGCTACATTCTTCCGAAATCATTACTTTTTCATGCTCCAAAAACCTCCTCTTGTTCGAGCATGCATCCTTCAAGAACTTTGCATAATTGGGAATTTGTTTCACTACATCAAGTAGAGGTATGTTAATGTTCACTTTTTTAAATAACTCTAAGATATGAGAAAAGTTTTGGTCTTTCTTAGCTTTATGAAGTCGTTGAGGATATGGAACTGGTGCAACATTGACCCTCTCCAAAATCGAATCGCCTAGACGTGTAGAATCTGATGCATGAGAAACAATATTCGGCACTTGAGCACCTGAATTCATAAAACTCTCTTGTACTTCGGTGACAACATTCTCAGACTTTTCAACCAACGTCCCATTTTCTTCACCGTTTGTCTCTATAGTTCTCCCACTCCTGAGTGTAATAACCTTTAATTGCTCCATATTCCTCGGATTAATCTCAGTTTGACTGGGAAACTTGCCCTTCTCCCTCTCAACCATTGCATGTGCAATCTGCCCAACTTGATCCTCTAGCTTGCGAATAGATGCTTGCTGATTTTGTAGAGAAGTTTGAGTTGCTTGCATAAAATTATTGGTGTTTTGAGAAAGAGTGTTGGTAGTTTGAGCCAATTGAGCCATCATATCTTCTATTGAACTTTTCTTGGCTTCATTGTTCTGGAACAGTGGAGATGGGTTCACTTGATTTTGTTGATTGTTCTTCCAAGCAAAATTGGGATGATGACGCCAACCAGGATTATACTTGTCAGAGAATGGATTAAACTGTTGGCGATTAAAATTTCCAATTTGATTGGCTTGTTCTTCAATGAACTCCGGAAATGAACCCTTCATAGGACAATCCATACTAGAATGTGGACCTACACAAATTTCACACATATTAGAAACCATTTTTGACTTATTAGAAGACATTAAAGAATCAAATTTCTTATTTAAGTTAGAAATTTGGGTAGGCATAGCCGTAAATGCATCAATCTCATGTACGCCAACTTTCTTTGGTTGTTCTCTTTCTCCTCCCTAGTTTTGAGAATTGGCAGCCAAGGTATTGAAAAGTGTAGATGCCTCGTCAACAGTTTTAGTCATTATAGCACCCCAACTGGCAGCATCTATCATTCGCTTATTGTCAGCGCTCAAACCTTGATAGAAAGATTGAAGCTGCAACCATTCCGACAAACCATGATGTGGACATTTTAGTAACAAGTCTCTGAATCTCTCCCAACTCTCATAGAAAGGCTCGCCTTGGAATTGAGCAAAAGTCATTATTTCGTTCCTTAGCTTTGCAGTCTTGGAAGGAGGGAAAAATTTCTGCAAAAATTTGTTGGCCAAATCATTCCAAGTTGTTATTGAATTCGAAGGAAGTGAATGGAGCCAATTCTTTGCCTTATCTTTTAGGGAAAATGGGAACATTCGTAATCTGATAGCCTCACTTGGCACATGATGAATCTTGAGAGTGTCACATATCTCGAGGAACTCATTGATATGCAAGTTAGGATCTTCAGCAGTCAAGCCATAATATGATGGCATCATTTGAATGAAAGACGACTTCAATTCGAAGTTGTTGGCAGCAACTTCTGGTCGAATGATGCAGGACGGTGAGGTTGACATAGTAGGAGCGGAATACTCCATCAACTTTCGATTCTCGTTCGGATTATGGAGAGCCATTTCGTTAGTCAATTCTTGCTTAGTTTGCTCTCTTAGTAAGTGATAGAAAGTCCTTTCGATCTCTGGATCAAATGGTACAAGCTCTAAACTCCGAGAAAGGCGACCGTGCATAAACTTCAAAATGTACCTAAAAGCAAAAGAAAATAGAAGCAAAAATTAAAATCACACAAATAACAATAAAAATAAGTTAGAAACAGAACTAACTCAATCCTCGTCGACGGTGCCAAAAACTTGTTGCTAAAA